ATGGGTCCATTGAATTCATGCAAATAGGTGGGAAGTTATTGGATCGAGAGGAAGAACTCATGGTGCAATCGAAGGAACACCTCATTCTTTGCCTGGCTTATCTAGAAAACTTGGAAGAATTTTAATCTTATCACTTGTACATTAAAGAAGAGGAAAATATGGAGGTCAACATTAAGTACACTACCGATGGGTTTATTGAGAGTCTTAATAAGAAAGCCAAGGAGGATACTTTTGAGTTAATCACTTCAGTGGTTGACTTATCCATGGAACCAAGTGATTTGAGTCAGAATGGGTGGAGCCTCCTGTTGAAGAACTGGAGACCACAGAGACTTCTACTAGAATAATCGATCTCGTGTACCCATTCATAAAGGTAGAGGGAAAAGAGGGGACTGAACTGCTCAGCATAGGAACCTGGACATCATTTGGAGGTGATCACGGAGCCTATTACGAACAACAACATCACCCGTCACAATGCAACTATTCTCAAAGAAGCAGAAGAATCTTTTATGGTTGGCAAAGAAGTAGGGATGATATTTGAATCCTCCGATAATGAGATGGTCAGCACCTTTGTGGCATTGGCTAACGAGGAAAACCCATGATTCAGTGTGGAGATGTGGGCTTTCGTTTTCTATTCAGAGGTGGTTTCGGGCCTTAAGATCAACTTCAGTAAGAGTTGCCCTTATGGAGTGGGCATTAATCAGTCTTTAGTTGTCTCATGGGCTAAAATGATGAAATACGAAGTTTGGAAACTACCTATGACATACCTTGGATTGCCACTAAATGTTGTTTCAAGCTCCACCAGCATATGGTAGCCGATTATCAAAAAATTGGAGTCTCGCCTATCCTCTTGGAAGGCCAAAACTCTTTGTATAAGGGTCGCCTCACTGTGTTGAAATCTGTCTTAAGCAGTCTTCCTATTTTTTATATATCTTTGTTCTAGATGCCAGTTAAGATTTGGACGGACATCAAAAAAATCTTCAAAAGGTTTCTTTGGGGAGATCCCAACGTAGCACGTAAGCTTCATCACATCAGCTGGGATGCCATTTGTACTTTTGGGGATCTTGGTGGACTTGGTTTTGTAGACATTAGACTAAAAAATGGAGTGCTTATTAACAAATGGCTTTGGAGGTACAAGAATGAACTAGAAAGTTTATGAAGGTGAGTTGATGTGGAAAAATCCAGTCTGGATCATAGATTAATCATGCCAAGCTTGGGTAATCCTTTTAAAGTTTTTGGTATTTGAAAGAACATCACCAAGCCCCTTCATGGGAATTGTGATTACAGCTACATTCTAACTAACATTATGGGTCTATCCTTAGGCTGTGGTAATTGAATTCGCTTTCAAGATGATGATTGGGTTGGCAGCTTTAATTTACGAACTACTTTCCCAAGGATCTATGTGCTGGCAGTGAAAAAGTCAAGCTATGTCGACGATTTCAGCAGCTGGAATGGAAGTGACTAGTCTTGAAACATCGAACTTTGTCTAGAGGTCTTCTATTAGGAAAGGGAACAATGAGATAGTTTTGATCAGCTTATTCATAATTGTGTTATCAGTAAGGACTTCTAAGACAAATTAATATGGAAAGGGCACTCAAGTGGTAACTACTCCTCCCACTCTTTTTATCGGCAAGTCTTCTCTAACACTTCTTCAGCCACTTATTGCAAACTAGTGTGGTCAGGACTTGCTCATCCCAAGATTGAGATCCTTTGTTAGTAGATTTTAAGAAGTAGATTAACGATTAAAGAGGCTTTGGTAAGTATGGGTATCATCACCCAGAAGGCTACCATTTGCTTGCTATGACGCAATAGTCTTGAAATGGTGAGCTATCTCTTTTTTAACGATCCTAAATCTTGATTATTGTGGCAGCAATAGTGCTGTTTATGGAATATTCAGTGGGTGGTTCATGACGACCCTTTGATATGTTTTTTATCTTGGTTCAACATTGCCTCTTCTGTTAGTAATGGGTTGGTGTGGAAAATGGTGTGGTATGCAATTTTTTGGGCCGTCAAGACTTATAGCAATGATGTCATTTTCAATGGCAAGATTTGGAACGGAGAGCATATTTTTGAGCTATTGAAAATTAGGGTGGCTTGGTAGATGCATGCGAAATGGCCCAACCTTCTTGTTCCCATTATTGATTTCACTAGATCCGTAAATGAATGCTTCATCCCTACCTTGATCAATGAAAGTAAAATTTCTGTTCCATGGTCAAGACCAAGAGTTGGGTGTCCCAAATCCAATGCGGACAGATCCTTGAGAGGCTGTCCAGTGACTCTAGCATAGGTGGTGTCTTACGGAATGAAGCCGGTGATGTTCTTGCCATGTTCTCTAAAGCCATTAGTGTTACAGACTCTACCACTGCTAAACTTCTCGCAGTCAAAGGCTACTATTATTTATGCAGTGTCCAAGTGGTGCTCCTCTCGCATTCTTATTCTGGAATGCGATAATCGCAATGTTGTCAAATGGTTATCTAATCCAAATTATATGCCATGGAGACTGCGACCTTTAGTTGTTCGAACCTTGTTCATCCTCAACAAAATTAATAGATGGTGTATTACACACATTCCTCGCTCTTCTAATGATTTGGCTAATTTGTTGGCAAAGGACGGTGTGTTTAGACTTTCAGCCTTTCTTTGGATTAGCAGTGGTGCCCTACATGATGAGGAGGTCGGCTCAAGCAACACTAACCAAGTTAATCTTCCCCACCAATTGGATGATGACAAGTAATTGTATGCTATTGAGTATCTGCTTATTACTGTTCTAGGTGCTTCGTTTTACGTTTTTTGCCCCTTGTTCTTATTTCCCCCATCTATTTAAGTTGTCCCAGGTATTTTGTGGGTTTTACTGCTTTGGATGCCTTGTTTTTGTACAGATACTAGAGTTGGGGAATTGGGTATTTGATAAATGTTTTTGCTCCCATACTTTCTTTTGTACAACTTACTCAAACTATCAATAAAATGATGCTTTCCAAAAAAAAAAAAGATAACATTTCCTTAAACTCATTTCAAAATTTTAGCAAAATACTCACAATTGAAAGAAGAGACGAGTATTGTCAGTTGGTGATTCACAAACTCCAAGTCCAATCTCATCCTTTAGCATCTCTCATCAGAAACTTCACTATGTAATAAGTCTCAATTTTTGTCTTGTTGATTGTATAGGACACTGTTTGCAAAGATAATATGCAACGAAAGTAGGCCTATATGGAGGATTTGATCAAAATAGTATCGGCAACAAAGGGCTCCTCCTTTCATAAGTTTGACAGTATTTAGTTTGATTTGGCCACTCCAATTCAATATCCAAGTTATCCGAACTCATAATCCATGCAGTGGAAGTGCTTGTCCATTAATGTTTTAAGCATAGCCAATTTGCTGGAGCTCTTGGCTTTTATTTTATTTTTTTAAAGATTAATTATGAACTGTATTCATATTAAAAAGGAAAAACCCATGTACACAAAAGGAGAGGAAATTTGGCAAAAATCAACCTAGGATCCTACTTTGGAATTGGTGTACAAAATTAGCCAACAAAAACCTAAGTCTTATACAAGAGAGTTGACAAGCAAAAAGAGGCATAGCCCTAAGTAAGAGAGAGAAACATAAACGCTATGAATGTTTCATCCTCTTGCAAGTCATAAAGTTCATGGCATTCCTAAGGGTAGTCCGTGCCTTTTCAAAAGCACAAGAGCCCAAGGAAAGCTCTTTGTCATAGAGACATGCATCTAAGAACCACCAACAAGTAGTAGCAGACAAAGAGAGGGCACCATCCAAAATAGTTAAGGGTAGAGACGTAGAAGATCATGAATTCTGTCAACCTCTGATTTAGCAAGGCCGTTTGCAGCCTCATTACTTGACCTTAAGATATTCCTAATCTACCCACTGCTAGCCACTCTGTTTTTGATTGAGCAAATCTGAAGAATAAGTTGTCGCAGTCGCCCATGGGGCTATATTAGGATTGTGGATACCCAAGACACAATGTTTTTGGAGTTAGATTCGATGATGATGCTATTAAAGTTCACCCACAAGGAGACTGCAAATAGAATTGTGGCCTCTCTCACAGCTAGAACTTCAGTGAGGTTAGCATCACCCCATCTAGTTTTCTTGTAAAAAACAAGCTTGACAACACCATTGTCATCCCCGTAGTATTCTTCCAATTCCAAGAAGCCATGGACAACCCCTAGCCGCTCTGTTTGTGTTGAACTTGAGCCAACCTGTAGGAAGACACTCCAATGGAACCTTAGGCTTATTTTCTTTCCTTGAAGTGGGGGCAGCAGCAAAGGATGGATCATCAACCATATTGTTTGCAATAAATAAGTTTATTAAAGGGTTTTGAAGGATATATAATAAAAGCTAATTATGGTACGATAATTGGAAACTGTTAAAACTAAAAGCTCATAAGAAATTGACAAATAGGTTTCTCATAATGCCAACCAAAAGTTAATTAGTTCCACAGTAATTCTAACATGAAGGCTACGATTCTGATAACCTCCAAAATCCGGGATTAAATAAGACAATAATTTACTTGGATGGTAAATATAAAATATACGAGGGAATAAAATCTAGAAATATCCATGCTTTCCTCAATCAATGAAATCTTTAAAGATGGGTTCTGGAGAAGTAAGCAAAAGGTTGATTGTGATATACTTATTGGGAACAGTTAGCAAGTAAAAGCCCATGAATCTGCTTAATTTTAAGGTAAAAAGAGTAAAACGGTTTTCTTCTTTATAGTATGCCAACCAATACATAATAAGCTTTAATTGTAATTCCACTTCAAGACTAGCTATAATCCATTTTGATAACCTCCAAATCATGGATTAATACGAGAAACAAATGTAGGAAATTAAACCAGCTAGCTTAGGACAAAAATTAACTTGGATAGTAATATAAAATGGAGCAGCTCGTTATATGTACCCCATACTTCCTCCCAAGCCTAAACAACTTCATATCCAGGTGACCTGCAGTGTGTTGGTACATATCTCTGATTCCTTTGACACTTGTTTATCACCATGGTGCAGAAGAATCAAATTCAGGGTCGCCAAAAGATCGCGATGAAGAAGATAGCAAAGAAGAACAATCTTCAAGTAACTTTCTCTAAACGTCGTACCGGGCTCTTTAAGAAGGCTAGTGAACTTTGCACACTTTGCGGGGTCGATGTTGCGATCATAGTCTTCTCCCCTGCAGGCAAGGTCTTCTCTTTCGGCCACCCTCAGGTTGAGTCCACCATTGATCGGTTCCTCACTCGAAGCCCCTCTCTTCATGTCTCTAATACGCATAGCCTTGTTGAAGCTCATCGAAATGCTAATATCCAGGGGCTTAATGTACAATTAACTCGACTGCTAGAGATGTTAGAAGTCCAGAAAAGGAAGGGAGAAGCACTTGAGGAGATAAGGGAAGCTGGGCGGCGGCAATGCTGGTGGCAAGCCCCGATCGACGAACTTGGATTGAATGAGCTAAAACAGTTGAGAATTGCGCTTGAGGAGCTAAACAGGAATGTCAAAAACCAAGCCCACAAGGTGTTGGTTGAGTCCAACTGCTGGCAGTTTTTGGCAGCAAATGGTATTGGCGGAGGTGTTAACAATGAAGCCAATGAAATGAAGGCTGCTTCGAGTGTTACTCAAGTGTATAATTTGGGTCATGGCCTGTTCTGAGTTTCCTTTATCCTTTCATAGGGCAGTTACTCACTAGTTAATTGCTGTCTACTACTCTGTTATTGTTTTATCAATGTCAGGTTAAGCTTTTAAATGATATAATTGAAGGGTTTGCTTGCAGGGACGAATCCAGGGATTGCAGTGAGCAGGGGCAACATATTGTTGAAAGATATTTATATATATTGTTACTTGAAATAAAATGACAAATTAAAAAAACCTTTATCAATCATATAATGGGAAATATTTCTTTATAATGTTATTATACAGAATTGTAGATGTAAATTAACAAGTCAATTCTGTAAATTTTTTTTTATGCGAAACAAACCTTTCATAATTCGAGATGATATTATTTTCATCCTTATCGAGACAACTAAATTAGGTTAATATTTCTTAATTATAGTCTAGTTTTTCAATGATTCTTCACCATCCACGTAGGCAAAAAAAACCCTTTTTGGTTTCTTAAATTTTTAAATTTTTTTAATAATCCAATTTTGAAAAATAACATTTGGGTTATCAATATTTATAACTATTATTGTTTTTGTACTTAACCATTAAAAGATAACAACCCTTCCACTTGAAATTTCACGTTACCATCCATGTTAATTGCTTTGTTATGTGACAATGAAAAAAAAATTTAAAAAGGAATTTATTATTTTTATTATTTTTATCACATGGTACAACAATTGACGTGGATTGATAACATAGAATGTCAGGTGAAAAGTTTATTATCTTTTAACAATTGAGTAATTATGATAATAATACTTATAAATGTTAGTGAACAAAATAAAAAATTTTCAAAAAATTAGGTTATCAAAATGTAAATTATAATTATAATTCTAATTAAGTAAAGTAATCTTGCAAAATTGTGCAAAGATAATATTTACATATGCTTTTTTGCACATATAGCAGGTATAAGAGTTGAGCAAAGATTTGAACCTTCCTCCGTTAAATCAAGCCTGAGTTTTATTGATGTAATGGTAATGATAGCCAAAAATGATGTAAAACTTTGTAAATAGTAACTATTTATATTATTATATAATAAAATAGTATATACTCGAGCATTGGTGCATGTTTGAGTAGGTTAGAATTCTCTGTCCCCAAATAATATAATACGTACATAATATTTAATTAATTTCTCTTATTATTTTTATGAATAATTTTAAATTAATTAAATATTTTAATTTATATACATGATTTTTTGAATAACTAAGTTATTCAAAACATTCCACTTTTGTTTAAATTAAAATTTGAACTCATCAATAAGAATTTTTTAAAGTTATATTCTCGATGAATTAAAATTTTTAAATATAAAAATTACGTTTGATGCCTTACAATGCAATCACATTGCATGAAATATGATAATAAAATAACATTGTAATGTTTGTCATTTTAAGGAAAATATAATTAAAATGTTGAAAAGATAACATTATAGCGTTTGGTTTATAAGTATTTTACTGTGAATGAAATGTTACTTTCTAGAATTACCTTTATGTATTAAAATGCAACTTAATGCATTTATATGTTTTTTCTAATCTAAATTTTTATATGATATCATCTTTTAAATAAGTTTTCCAATAAATAACCAAGCATCAAGCAAATCCATCTTAATATTAATTAAAAATAACTTTTTATTTGTTAGCAATTTTGAAAATTTTAAAATATATTGTTGTTATTATTATTTTGACATATTCCAAAAATATTAAAAATGGAAATAATTCTTCTTAGAGAAAACCAAAAGTATAACAAACCAAAAGAGATTTTTTTTTTTTAAAATGAAAGTAAAAAAGAAATATTTTTTATTTTTAAAAGTTTATTAAAATTACAAAGAAGAAATTCTAAATATATTTTTTAAAAATTACAGAGATTTTTTATTTAAAAAAATTATGAGTGTAAAAAATAATATTTTCTATTTTTTCAAAAATTGTAAATATATTCTTTATTTTATGGATTTCCTAATCTTTTATAATTTCTTCAAAATAAAAATTATTTCTATTTTTTATTGTTTTAGAATTTTTAAAAATTAAAAATTTCTTTTGATTTTCTTAAATTTTTTCAGAATTTCTAAAAATAAAAAAATTATTTTTATGTTCAAAATATTAAAAATATTTCTAATTTTTTTAAATTTTTTAAAGTGATAAAAATTAAGTTTTAGAATTTTAATAATTGAAAAAGGGTAAAAATGTCAAATTAAGTTTGATAACATTGCATAATAAGTTGTAATTTGAGATTGTGTTAGTTTTTCAATATATTTACATTACATTTATTAGTTGTAATATGATTATATTGCAATCTTATATTATATTGACTTGTTTCAAAATAATGTTATAATGTAATTTAATTAAATACATTACAGGAAATGTGGATGTACAGCCTTGATACTAAACACTGCCAATGTTTTATATTATATAAAATATTATATAAAAATTTTCCATTAATTTCTTACTCTTAACAATTTGACAACATAATTTTTTTGAAAGACAAGAACTCAAAACATTAGCGCATCATATTAGAATTCCTCCATATTCTTTCGTGCATGTATTGATAAAAAATTCTTTAGGTATTATTTTCTAAACCTCACAGTAACATTTTTTTTTTGAACAAATTCAACTTTAATCATTATTTTTAATAAAAGTATAAATTTATAAAATTTTTTAAAGTAAGATTTTCAAATTTTGAACTTCAAACTTTTAGACATATTTTTTGAGATTTTAATTTTATATAATGTTTTAAAAAATAATGGTAAAAATTAAATTTATTTGATCATAAATGTCAATAAGGGACAAATAAAATGAGATAGAGAGAATAAATTATGATCCAGTTAAAAGTTTAGTCCCGGAGGAGAGGGAATGACGGCAGGGTTAAAATTAGAGTGCACTAAATTTAAATATTTCAAATAATACAATTGTTAAAAAAAAATTATCAAAAACATTCCTCTTGGTGTACTCTTGATGAATTAAAATCCTCAACTACTTTATCAAAACAATAAAATCCTCAACTACAAAATTTTATATTGTATACAATTTTATTTAAAAATTTTCCATAAATTTTTTACTAAACTTCGACATTTTAAAAACATAATTTTATTAAAAGACAAAAACTCAAAATATCAGTGCATCATTAGAATTTCTCCCTATTCTTTTGTGCATAAATTGTTCAAATTCTTCATATAATATTTTCAAAACCTCCCAATAACTTTTTTGGTCAAATAAATTCAACTTTGACTATTTTTTTAATAAAATATAAATGTATAAAATTTTTCAAAATAAGATTTGTAAATTTTGAATTTCAAACTTTTAAACAAATTTTCTGAGATTTTAATTTTATATAATGTAGTAAAAAATAATGGTCAAAAGTGAATTCATTTAATCATAAAAGTCTATTTTTTCAGTTCCACTCCCAGGGGAATAATGTGGGAAAGGATTTAGGTAGATATATCCAAGAAGTGTTCAATGGAGTGGAGGTGGGAGATGACCTATGCAAATCCATTATTGCTTTAATCCCCAAAGTCCAATCTCCTGAGTGAGCTTCCCAATTTCACCCAATTAGCTTACTTCCAATTGTTTCTAAAGTTTTGATGAAAGTCATCACCAACTGACTGAAGCCTTTTATAAGTCACTCAGTTGCAGAAAATCAAGCCAGCTTCATTCTTGGTAGATAAATAATTGATAATATTATTGCCAGTCAAGAGGTTATGCATTCCTTTCGGAAGAAACAGGGAAAAACTGGGTGGATGATGATTAAAATAGACATGGAGAAAGCTTATGATAGGTTGACGTGGGAATTCATTTATGACAGACTATTGAATGCTAAAATCCATGAGTGTATTATTTATATTATCATTCGGAGTTGGAGAAGTTGTTCTTCACATATTTTATGGAATGGTTCTCTTTCTGAAAATTCTTTCCAAATAGGAGGTTAGACAACGAGATCCGTTGTCTCCATATCTTTTTGTACTGTGTATGGAACGGCTAGCTTATGGTATCCAAGCTCCATTATCACAAGAACAATAGAAGCCCATTCCATTGAGTAGAGGTGGACCTCCCTTAATTCATCTATTCTTTGCAGATGATCTGATTTGATTTGCTGAAGCTTCAGTTTCCCAGATGGAGGTAATTAAAGGCGTATTGGATGATTTCTGCATATGTTCTGCTAAGAAGGTAAGTGTGGAGAAGTCTTCATTCTACTGTTCGAAAAATGTCAAGTTGGAGATTATTAACGCCCTCTCAGATTATTGAGGTTTCACTTACTCAGATAATCTGGGAAAATAATTGGGTGTCCCATTTCTACATGGACGAAAAGAATATTCCTTGTTTAATACTTGGAAGAAAAGATTTGCACTAGACTGAGTTCATGGAAAGCTTCTGCCCTCTAGTTTGCAGGTAGACTCGCATTGGCGAAGTCGGTGCTCTCAACAGTCCGTATTATGCCATGCAAACAGTTGCTCTTCCTAAAAGAACATGCAGAAAAATCGAGAAGTTATGCCGCAACTTGCTTTGGGGTGGTGATACTACTCCCCATAAAATTCATTCGATGAAATGGCAAGGCATTTGTCGCCCCAAAGATGAGGGAGGATTGGGTACACGTTGCATGAGAAAGATGAATAACGCTTTTTTACTAAAGCTTGTTGGAGCTTAGTCTCTAAGACTGATGCTTTATGGGTGAAAGTGGTAAGGCACAAATGCAATCTGGGAATCTATCAGTAAGCTTTGGGTTAAATTTAAAACCAATATTCGGAGGGCTATTGGCGATGGAATTACGATGAGATTTTGGTTTGACAAATGGGTTTGTGATTACTCTTTAGCTTCCGCTGCAATGACGATAGGGAAAATGGTGGAAGACAATAGTAGTGTTAGAGAATTCATCCTCTCGAATGGTGAATGGGATTTTAATCGTGTGGTTAATTTGCTATCAATAGAAGAATTCAATCTTCTTACCGAAACCCTCCCTCTTACATCCATTTTAGAACCGGATAAGCCCTTCTGAATAGCTTCCTCTTCGTGTTTATTTACAGTACCTTCAACATATGTCTCCCCAAGAGAGATGGCAGATGTGATCCATCATAATAGTAGTTTATGTAATCTAGCTAGGAAATGGAATGGTCCAGAGAGAATCCGTACGTTTCTCTTTCTTTGCCTACATGAAAAGCTACTTACAAGCAAAGAATGGGTTTGAAGACATATTGCCCATGGTCCTGTTTGCTCATTCTCTCAATTGGATGCAGAGTCAACACTGCATGTGTTACGAGATTGTCCCTCAATTACTTCACTCTGGGCCAGACTCCTACCACAGAATCTTCAAGGTACATTCTTTGAATCTACTTTGTTAGATTGGCTATCTTTAAATTTGAATAGTACCAATATTCTGGTAAATAATATACCATGGAATATTTTATTTGGAGTCACTTGTTGGTTTATATGGAAGTGGAGGAACTCTTTCATCTTAGAAGAAAAGTGGGTTCCAATAGAAGGTTATCTGAATCTAATACACAGTTGGCAATAGACATGCATACAGTCTGTTCAACTAACATACTGAATAATAGTTCAGTTTCTTTGGCTAGTGAAGACCGATTAATTGGATGGCAGATTCCCAATTGGATCGCTCTTAACGTTAATGGTGCATCACTAGATAAGGCAGTTACTGGAGGGATAATTCGAGATACTCATGGCAATTGGAAAGGTGGCTTCTCCCTCAAACTTGGAAAATGTACGGCATACAAGGCAGAACTATGAGGTGGTCTATAAAGGCTTGTTGCTAGCATGGGGCTTGGGATTTAGAAAGGTTGATCTGCAAAGGGGCAAATTGCCAATAAAATAGTTGTCCCAGCTATCAAGTCTACGTTGTCACATCCCGAGTTAATTCAGATTTAGTCCATGCTATTCATCATCTTCTACAACGTCACTGGTCAGTGGTCCCAAGACATGTTTATAGGGAAGGGAATGGAGCTACAGATTTTATGGTTAATAATGGTTTTTCAATTAAGGAGAAATTTGTAACCTACGCAAGCCCTCTTAGGAATGTTAAAGATTTGTTATTTCATGATGTATTGGGACCATGCATACCTCGCATTATAAGAATATAATAAAAGTTTTTTTCCTTAAAAAAAATAAAATGAGATGGAGAGTACAAATTATGATCAAGTTAAAAGTTTAGTCTTGGAGGAAAGAGAATAAGAGAAGGGTAAGGTGAACTTTTGGACAAAATTATATACAGCAAAAAGGTGCACTAAATTTAAATATTTCAAATAATGCAATTGTTAAAAGAAGTTATGAATTTCTTTTACAAAATATTGCATATATCAAATGAGGAACCAAAGTTATACGCAATTATTAAAAAAACTAAAAAAGTTATAGGAAATAAAAGAAAGGCTTATGTTTATAACTCATATGTGAGCCCCACATATATTTAATATTGGCTTTTCTTTAATTTTATTTTTTATCAACATATATAGTAAATATATGACATCATCATTAATGTCAACATGCTTATTTGATTAATTGAGAAGATAATTAATAATTTATTTAAAAACTAAAAATATTTAAATGTAAGAATGGTTACATTATAATGCAACAATATAATGCAACAAGTATAAAACTTTGCTACATATATCAAAACCTTTTTTCTTTATGTATTTGTTTAAAATGTAAAGGATGTAGGATATAATATGTAAAAGAAAAAGCTTGGCAAAATTGAATATTAATCTTCAAATAAAGATAAGCAAAGGCATATAGGTGGATTCAAATTAAGTTATAAGAAACAATAATATATAATGCCAAATACGAATAAACTCATAATTGACTATAGGCCTACAAATAAAATTCAATTAAATTAATATGTACATATGTTTAATTAATTCCTCTTATTATTTTCAAGAACAATTTAAATTAAATTAAACATTTTAATTTATATATTCAATTTTTTGAATAAGTGAAGTTATCTAAGACATTCCATTTTTTTTAAAAACTGAAGTTTGAGCTGACCAATAAGAATCTTTTTAAGTTATATTCTTGATAAATTAAAATCCTCAAGTACAAAGTTTTATATTATATACAATATTGTATAGAAACTTTCCATAAATTTCTTACTAAATTCTGACATTTTGAAAATATAATTTTATTGAAAGACAAAAACTCAAAACATCAGTGCATCATAAAAATTTCTCCTTTTTCTTTTGTGCATATATTAATCAAATTCTTCAGGTATTATTTTCAAAACCTCCCAATAACTTTTTTTGGTCAAACAAATTCAACTTTGACCATTATTTTTAATAAAATTATAAATTCATAAAATTTTTTAATATAAGATTTCTAAATTTTTAATTTCAAACTTTCAAAATATTTTTTTAGATTTTAATTTTATATAATATTTTAAAAAATAATAGACAAAATTGAATTTATTTGACCATAAAAGTCAATAAGGGACAAATAAAATGAGATAGGGAGAGTATAAATTACAAGTTTAGTTTTGGAGGAGAGGGAATGAGGTTAGGGTAAGGTGAACTTGTGCATAAAATTATATACAGTAAAAAAGTGCATTAACTTTAAAATTTTCAAATAATGCAATTGTTCAAAAAATTATTAATTTTTTTTACAGAATATTGCATACAGCAAATATGGGATCAAAGTTACACGCAATTATCAAAAAATTAAAAGAATGATAGAAAATAAAAGAAAGATTTATGTTTATAACTGATATGTGAGCATAACATATTTAATAAGACCTTTCTTTAATTGTATTTTTTATCAAAATAAATAGTAATTATATGACATAATAATTAAAGTCAACATACTTTTTTGATTAATTGAGAATAAACTTAATAATTTATTTGAAAACTAAAAATATTTATATGTAAGAATGGCTATGTTATGCAACAATATAATGCAACAACTATAAACGTTTGCTACATACATTAAAATTTATCTGTTTTTTTATGTATTTGCTCAAAATAAAAAGGAGGTAGGAAATAATATGTAAAAGAAAAGCATAGCAAAAGTGAATATTTATCTTCAAATAAAGATAAGCGTAGACATAGATGGATTCAAATTAAGTTACATAGCACAATAATACATAAGGCCAAATACGTTCAGAATAAACTCCTAGTTGGGTCTAGGTCTACACCTAAAATTAAATTAAATTAATATTTACATAATGTAATTAATTTCTCTTATTATTTTCACAAATAATTTATATTAAATTAAACATTTTAATTTATATTTGAAATTTTTTTAATAAATGAAGTTAATCAAAAGATTCTATTTTTGTTTAAATTGAATTTTGAGCAGACCAATCAGAATTTCTTTCAGTTATATCCTCGACGAATTAAAATCCTCATATATAAAGTTTTATATTATATACAATATGATATAGAACTTCTCAATAAATTTCTGACTAAACTCTGACATTTGAAAACCATAATTTTCTTGAAAGACAAGAATTCAAAAGTTTTATATTATATCCAATATTATATAGAACACTTCTATTAACATTTTGAAAACATAATTTTATTGAAAGACAAAAACTCAAAACATCTTCCTATTCTTTCGCGCATATATTAATCAAATTTTTTGCGTATTATTTTCAAAACTTCCAGTAACATTTTTTAGTTAAACAAATTCAACTTTGACCATTATTTTAATAAAATTATAAAATTATAAATTTTTTAAAATAAAATTTGTAAGTTTTGAATTTCAAATTTTTAAACATACTTTTTGAGATTTTAATTTTATATAATGTTTTGAAAAATAAGGATCAAAATTGAATTCATTTGACCATAAAAGTAAATAAGGGGCAAATAAAATGAGTTAAAGAGTATAAATTATGAAGAGGGAATGAGGGTAGGGTAAGCAGGATAAAATTCTATGCACTAAAAAATACACTGAATTTAAATATTTCAGATAATGAAATTGTAAAAACAAAAATTAGAAATTTCTTTTACAAAATACTACATAAATCAAATGTGGATAAGAATGAGCAATTATTAAAAATTTTAAAAAGTCATAAGAAATAAAAAAGTTTATATGTGTATAATTAATTTGTGTGCACAACATATTTAATAATTGACCTCAACATACTTTTAAAAACTATAATGTAACAATAATGATAAATATGATATAATATGTAAAAGAAAACCTTGACAAAAATGAAAATTAATAATCAAATAAAGATAAAGGACATAGATGCATTAAAATTAACTTACCTGAAACAATAATATATAATACCAAATATGTTCAAACTTGCATACAAAAAACCTTCAAACTCGCCTTGCTCCTAAACTAACAATTTTTGTAATATGAAATATCAACATCAATCAACCTGTGCCATCGGTTTTTGCATTGGCTGAAGAATTATTTGAAGCATCGACGGAAAAAATATTATCTAAATTTATCAATGGTTCAACACAAGTAACACCATAAAGCTCTAACTGTGAAGCAAGATCAAGATTGAGAACACTCCAAATGTCATCTTGAGCTCCTTTGTCGTTGGGGTATTTCAAAGAAAGAGACCTAAGAGATTGCGAATCAACAATCTTTGAGTGAGCCCCATAGCTGAGTGTCAATGTCTGAAACTGATCGCTTACCGGCTGAAGATTGTTGTAAGATCCATCAGAGAGAGATTGATGCATAAAACTACCAAGAGCATTGGAATAATCCATCGAATCAGCACCACCATTATAATCAAAATCCATATTCATTAACTCGTTTGTATCGTCATTGTCAATCAATGGAGATTGATTATTTCCTTTGGATCGTGTTCTACTAATTGATTTATCAACTTTCTTGTAAATCCTACATAAAACCCAATCATCCAGCTGCAATAAATAAAATAAAACTTATTAATCAGTAACATATCAAACAATTAAAACCCAAAATTACCATAAAAAATTTTTAAAAAAATTTACCCTCATATCATTGTAAACCCTTTTGCATGAAGGTGGATCATTGACTCTATATTCATGCATGATCCAATTGGTCTTGTCACCTTTTGGAGGTTTTCCTTTGTAAAAAACCAATGCCTTTCTAAATCCAACGGTATGACCTGTGTATATGATTTGCCTGTCAGCACCCGTAGCCTTCCAATATCCATCACCAGCAGCACGATTAGGTCGTGTTCCATTTCGATATTTCTTGTCTCTAGGAGTGAAAAAATACCATTCCTTTTCTCCATATTGCTTATATTTTTCTATTAAGCCAACAAAATTTCTCATGAAGACCAGAGAATAAAAAAATAATAATAAAAAAATAATTTCACAATACCTGCAAGCGTCTCAGGATTATGGTTGTACAAGTTAACTTCCACGATCCTGTTGTGAGGCAAAGGCTCATTCTTGACTTTCTTCTTTAAGTAATGAAGAACAAGCTCTTCATCAAGAGGACAGAATCGATACCCTGGAGGAAATGAATCAAGGTATTCATCACCATCACCATTCTCCTCACTGTCTTTGATTGAGTCCTCTTTCTTTGCCACCTCGACAGTAGTAGCTCCACTGGAGGATTCATTGAGGGGACGCAGTTGTTTTGTAACTAGAGATTGAAGTGTCGGCTTGGGTTTCTCATCAGTTTCCATAGCCAGTACTCTGCTAATAAATGAGGACTCTTTTTCAAAAGACAAGCAGGTGGAAAATTTCTTTCTATGAGAAGCTAATTCGATGGAGAATTCTAAGTAGAATCAAACATATAAATCATCAATAAATAATATCCTTGGTCGAGTTTGTTTAATTATTTCAAAATGAAATATCTTTGTTTGTTTTAAAAGATTTTCAAAGTATATCAAATCATATCATTATCGTACTAAAAAGATTTAAAATCAAAATCTTTTATTTTTTATTAAATTTAAAATCTTAAATCATAATCTTAATTGAGATTTTTTTTGCCCTTATCCTAAAGCCATCACTTCCCACAAAATATATATCTCAATCTATCTTTTTCGTTAAATATCTTTATAGTTAATTTAAGAATTTCATTTTTTTTAAATTTAAAATTTATTGTTATTGTCAACTTAACTTATTTAGATAATTTTTTAGGAAAACTTATTTTTATTTAAATGAAGTGAAGCATAATTTAAATTAATTTGTTATATATATAATTTTCTTCTTTTCGGTTTTATTGAGTTATATAATCCTCCAATAAAATGAATGAAATTACTTTCCTAAAAAATAAAATGAATTTCATTATTTTCAAAGAAACCACATGTAACTCACACAATAATTTATGAAATACCATTCGTTTCCGAAATAATAATTGAAAGGTAAAAATGTCTATATTTCCCAATCTCTCGAGACATGTTCCAAATGACATTATAAAAAATAACGATGAATTATTAGCGTGAAAAGGAAAAGATGATGACGAATTATTAGTAAGAAGGCAGTCTTATAGACATTGAAGCAGAAATTTAGGATGGCGTTGTGAAGCTTAAATAAGGCTTTCAACAAGACTTCCAAATTTTGCCACATGAATCGAGTTGCCCGCATTCTGAAAGTATAAGTTGGACAGACTGTATGCAATACGCATGAATTTACTTCTAATGAGGTATATAATTTGCTGGTCATAATTGATACATATAAAATCCTTTTCAATACCTTATTGAGATTACAATTTTGTGGTTTTATGGTGGATATAACACAATGTTTTTCTTATAAAGCTTTTTGTTATTATATTATATATGGGTGTCAATAAAATTAATTTATCTTGATTGTTATAAAACTGAAAAAGAAAAAAAAAACTCGTTAAAGTAAAAAATCAAGAAAGAAAAAATAATTGTATAAATAAATTAGTATTTTATATCCGTATTTATATATGTTCTTTCCTTTTTTTTTGTTAAAAAAATAAAGCTTTTCTTGAATTCTTTTCGTTACTAGAACTTTTTGGCACATAAAAGAAAGAGCGAGAATTGGAGGCTTAGACCTGCACCCTTTTAAAATCCTTCTAAAAAGATTAACATGCAACAGCCAATTAAGTTAAACTTGGATTGGATTATAACATAATGGAGGCATTATTAATATAGTAATAAAGAAAATTGACATTTATTATTTTAATTTGGAAAGAGATTCCAACTTTTGGCTGTGTTTTTTGGAGCAAAGATATATGCATTAGCACTGAACCAAAAAAATAGTTAGGGATGGGGAATAAATTTGAGTCAAAACATCTCCATTCTCAAGTAAAACTGCAAATAGAAAATAAGAGGCCATATATTCCAAAACCAGAAACAACCAAGCAACAGCTTGCTAACACCACCTTTTATTCATCATCTGGAGGACTTCAAAAATTGACAAACCCCTTTTCCTTCAAGCTTTCAACTGTTTCCTTTAGGCTCACATCCAAAGGAATAAAGTCTATACCCAAACATTTTGCTTTTTCCTTTGACACCTGATATGTTGGCACATAAGGCTTGTCATCTGCACATCTGCCAATATTTATGAAAAGGACACTCTTTTAAGTATATACAGCAGGCAACAATGACCTGTGACATATTTTCTTCCTATGACTGGATTTGATTAGTTAAAGTACAATCGGGTTTTAACTATACTGTAAAAATGGTAGTGATATAGGCAAAGAAATGCATGCAGAAGCATATAATAAAAGATGGGGTAACACGATAACCTTTTGGCTTAAAACAAAGGGAAGTAACAAATTGATTCCATATAGACAGAAAAGCACAAAGCAAACTAGTCACCCGATGGTAGTGATGTAGTATGCTTTAAAATTTACAAGTCAAAAACTTACTTTTCCGGAAGTTGGAAAGAAGGATACAGCTCTTGTAAGACCTTCACAATTTCTGAGAAATGTGCAACTCTCTCAACTAAACAATATCTTCCACTAGCTGACGGAATCTCAAATGCCTGGATATGTGCATTTGCAACATCTTTAACATTAACCCAACCAAAAGTTGCATTGGGAAATGTCTGTGCTCCTGCAGAAAACCCAGAGGACGAAAAAGAGAAAAATAATTCTAACAGGTGTAATTTAACTGAACGAAATCCTTAAAAATTAATGCATCATTTGTCCACAACTAAAATTTTTGCAAACCAGTACTGCGATAAGTTTTGCTGAGCATCACACATGAGGTGAATAGTCCAACAAAAAGATGCTTGAATTTGGAAATTCAACAATAAATGGGCACATAAAACCTGAGCAAACATTATTCATGCAAATAAACTGGATTTGAGGTAATTTGATGTATTTAAATTCATAGATGATGTCACCGAGAAGAAAATGATTGCTCCCCCCACGTTGCCTTTCACTCAAGGACTCCAAAGCTTGCTCTCTTATAGAAATGAGAAACCAGATTCTACCCCCTCCAATATTTCCTTTTTCTTTATCAAATATATAAAACAACATATAAAATTAGCGAGTAGATTGAGGCAGAGCCATCTTTCACTCAATAATGGGCCCCAAGCTGCTGAAAGCTTATTAATGTGTTGTATAAAAACCAGAAATGAGTAACTTCAATGTTCTATTCATGTGACACTCCAGCTAGCTATAATCTCTAAGATCTGTTTTGATTGCATTTCAATACAGTCCAGCTAGAATCTATAACTATGAACTTCCCTGTTCTCAAAAATATGTCAATCTTAATTGCCTTAAATCCTCCAAGTATTTTCAAAAAATAAACTACAAAGAAAAGGAAAATCACTCTAGCATTGTCTATTCTTTTCAGAAGGCATACAAGAGTAGCAATTATGTTGAAACAAGCTATAACCATATCAAAAGATTAGAAGTTAAAATGATTATCATAACTAAAGTTACTGGATGAAAGATATTCTCATTTTTGTTTCTGGGATACTACAGCATTACTTATACAGGAATTCAAGGCATGAGGAGTTAAAAAAGGCCCTTTAATTAAGTATTTTCCAGAGAAACAACAAAAGCAGATGCTTAAAAGAAATCTTGATTTGTATATAGCAGTAGCACTAGCATTTCCTTATATTTGACTTTTTCATTCCCCTCAGTAAATCAAGGCATTTACCAGAGAAGGTAACAGGAAAGACCAGCAAAAAGCAGCAGCAATAGTACGGAAGGTAGTAATTATTCCTATAAAGAGACAGGCTGACATGTGTATCTTCTGAAGATCATCAAAGAAAGCTGTCATTGTAATTTTTATATTTTCTCAATCACTGGGGTAGAGACTATTTACCACCAAAGATGATGCAAATTGCAATGTTTAAATTGAGAATATGCATAGTGGGCAGGCAAAATTTACCTTTGATTAAGCTTAAAACTGCTGCAGCACTTGTATTAAGTGTTGGCTGTAAAAGAGGACCGATCACCATTGCAGGATTTATGGCAACCAAGTCAATGCCCTTCTCTTGTGCAAATTTCCAGGCAGCATCCTCAGCCATGGTTTTTGAGACTACATACCAAAGCTGAATAAAAAAGTTAATTAATTAAAAAGAGTATACTTCAGCATAAATATCCCCTTATACATATAATATAAACTGAAAAAATCCATAGTGATGCACTAAATATCAGGGTTGTAGCATGAACAAATTGCATAGTGCACAAGCATAGAAATTGAAAGCAAATTATAGCATGACAACAGCTAGCTAGTTCATGCAACCTTGCAAAATTTGTTCCAGCAAGTATGATCAATAGCCTTATCATGCTAAAGGGCATCAAACTGTGGACACAGGATTAGCCTCTATAATAAGATGAAATCTTAAACTTAGCTTGCAAGATGATGCATTGAAGCAAAGAACTTAATGAGTAAAGAAAATGCATAGAGCCTATATAAGCATCGGCACATAAAAGTGGGAACATCAGTAAGCCTTTCTCCCATCATGCTGCACAAAATGATAAAATATGTTCAGAAGAATTTTCACAACTTTTTAGAGCACCGTCTGCAGGCTGAATCCTAAAATATGGAATATGGTGATAAACAGAACCAACTTCTAACAGAGAGGTGGTCTGTACTAAGTGAAAAAGGATCAAAGTTTCCACTCACAATCCAGCCCAGCTACAATTCCTCAAAACTACAGTAGTCCCTATGAGCGAATATGTCTCTTGCAATTTATATCCTAATCTCCAGATGCTCGGAGATCAGAATGATAACTCAGAGGATTAGATTGGCAGGCTGGACCAATTTATCATTTCAAATTCAAACATCTATGACTAGAAATTTATAGCAATTATGGGATTGGCACCCATTCTGCATTAACAAAACAAGCATTGATGGGCTTCAGAGTTGATCAGCTAGCTCAAGTTCACATTTGATACAAACAGGAACTATCATCAAGCACTGATAAAATAGTCAGAAAACAACTGAGAATAAATTTCTTCTCGGGACTTTAGAGCAACAAGGTATTGGTTGGTAACATTGTTCCCTCCATCCAACTTTAACTATGACCATAACAATAAAAATAAACTGTGAGCGTTATCTGCATTTGCGATGATCTTATCCTTATTTGTTCAAACAACTAAACTACAGGTGTTTGTAGACCTAATAATTTCACAATAATGAACAATGATATTTGCATCTAAAATACTTTCATTTAATTGAATCTCCACATACAATCTTCTTCTTTTTTGTTGTTTAGTTTTCACTAATTATTGTATAACAGGTTGAAGTTCCATATAAAACACAACACTGATAGGCCATCAGATATAATAGCAAACATACACACCTTTAAGCCCTTACAGTAATCTGGATCAGTAAACCAAGTTTCATCGATCACAACATCTGGAGTTCGAGGTTTTCCATTGTATGTGACCGCAGCCATAGAAGATGTTAAGACCACTCGTTTGACAGAGGAGGTCTTAGCACATGAGTTCAGAACATTTAGGGTGCCTTTGACAGCAGGATCAAGTAATTCTACCTGAAATGAGAAAGGAAGAGTTAAAAACTTATTAATCATGTAGAGATATCAAAGTTACAGCTCAAAATAAGAAAAAAGAGGTGGCTAGACTAGTGCTCAAAACACAAATGACTATACTCATATTACAACATTACAAACTGAAATACTAGGAGGAGGTCACCACTCATCACTGACCACCATGGTTCGACTACTATGTATGATTGTACGTCATAAATCTTATATCAAATACCTCTTAACCTGTAAAAATATGGAGAATGTTTCCCTCCAATTACTCATTTACTATCCAAAGGCTAACGACTGAATGAGAAACATGTTAGAATACTTCTCTAGTTATAAGCAATGCAAAAGTACCAACTATGTTTCTTCCTTTTCACTAAGTATCTATGATTCAGATCCTGACTACTAATATAAAAAAAAACAAGTTTATAAGAACTTTAATCTGTCAAATGCTCTTCTAATGAATTTGTTTTGCTACTTAACATACAAAAACCTCATCAATAATAGAATTTGTCATTATCATTATCAAAATGGTGAAAAAACACTTAAAATATCCAAAACAAAAAGGAACTGAACTGTTCAAATAAAAGAAATTGACTGCTAGGTAGTGGTGTTCATTCCCCACAAATGGGAGCCTCAAGAATGTACTTGCAATAAAAAACTGAAGAACTGATAAGAGCTCATATATGATTGATAAATCTGTTACCATTATCCAATTTCATTTTGTTAACATTTGAAACTATAAAACCTAGAATGTGTAAAATGAACAGCTTAGTAAATGGATGATGTTACACAAAAATAGCATGCAATTTGCGGATTTTTTTTTCTTTTTTCATGAAACAATACTTAACAAAAATTATAACCATTACTGTGTAGTATTTGAATATAAAATATTATATACATCCAAAACACAGGGGTTATCTAGATGAAGAAATCAAGACCAACCTGTGGATCTGTGACATCATGATAAAAGGGAGATGCTGTGTGAAAAACACCTTCACAACCTTCAACAACAGCATCATAGGAACCTTCTTCCAATAGGTTCGCTTTAAACAACTTCAGCCTGTCCTCAGCACCTTCAAGTGCAAGTAAGTGTTGTGTCTTTCTTGGATCATCTATTGAGAAACAATAACTAAATACAATTATGAAATAGTTTGGGAAACAGCTAGGTAACACTTATAAGGACAAAATAGAGAAAATTACTCCATCATTATGCATCTACTACAACACCGCAATGCCGAAAACAAGAGCTTATCTCCTTCTAGATAGTAAATGGCCGAATAGTTGCTAATTAATGGCATAATAATGTCTCTAAATTCTAAACTTACTCAGTTTGAAACATTAATTTTTTTTATTAGGCTTTGCTTGGTAGGGGAGAATGGTTGGAAGATGGAAAGGGATAGGTGGAAGAAAAAGGAAAGAGAAATGATCTTTCATCATAGTTTTTAGGATAGAAAAGTGAGAGGAAAGAAAATAGCGGTGATTACAATTTTCTATCGACACTAGTAAAATCAATCCCTCAAATTAGAAAAAAAAAAAGGGGAGATGCATTGTGTAAAGGTTACAAATTTACAATGCTACTTTCTTTCAGAATTTGTCATTATATCTCTGTTTGAAAATGGTATATATGATGGTAAAATAATGTAATTTTCATTCTCTTTCTTTAGCCTTCCAATTCCATCAAGCAATGGATGAAAAGAATATTTTCAATATTCTTTCCAACAAACTACCTAGCCAAAAAAAAAAACAGAACAATTCTTACTTTCACTTTATTCCTTTCCAGTATTTCACTTTTCCATCTTTCTAAAGGAGAAAATTCTAAAACTTTCAGCACCAGAGAAATGTATTAAAAATGAAAATATTAAACTCATATGTTCATGATAAGAAATAACATGAAATTTCGATCACCTCAAAACTAGTAGAAACCTGAGTATCTAATGAACTGTCTCCAACAATCCTACCCTCATTAAAAGATGCAATCAGAGCATAGCAAAAATGGGTATTTTCTTGTTTTGCATGCACAAGTCCAAATCAAAAAAGAAAAAAAAAACCATGAAAGACGATGAAAACATAGCAAACTAAATAGAACAAAGCACGTCATATATTAACAAAACAAAGTGAAAAAAAAAGAAGAAAAATAGATTCAAATCCCAGAAAGACATGAACAGACGATGACGATGCAAGGATCATGGAAACAAGAAAAAAACTGACTTGGGTCACGAACAGAGGCTTTGACAGTGTAACCACGAAGGAGAAGAAGCTTAACAAGGCATGACGCAATGTAACCAGAGGCTCCAGTTACGCACACGGTTTTTCCTACCCCGATGCTCATTTTTCTTTCTTTTTTGGTTTGGTTTTGCACTATTTGTGGCTGGGAATTTCAGCTTCTTTTTTCTGTGTTTTCTATCTTTGACGGTTACGTTTCCGCTATATTTAACAAGGAACCTCGTTCTTGCCCTTTTTTACTGCAATGGGCCAATCCCAAGGACCTCAGTTTTCTTCAAGCCTTTTTTTTTTCCTTTTGTTTCTTTATTTAAGAGCTTCAAACAATTAAATCTGAAAAATTTATCTTAGTATACCAGATAATAATTTATAATTAACTATTAACTAAACTTATTATGATATTCAAATTATATATTTTTTCTATAGACATGCATATATAAAAGAAATATCAATATAATAGAACAGTTTTTTAGCTAATAATTATTTTATTGAACGAAATTGACAAATTCTAGAGAACACAATAAGTAAAATTATACAAAAAATAAATAAAAGGAAAAGAAAGGCTTCTATTAAGTGATCTTATATGATTGCAAATTTAACACCATACTTAATTTTATAGATTATGTCATTTTGAAACAATAACATATTTTCTTTATAAAATAAATTTATATATATATCTAAATCTAATACTATCTCAAAAAATTTTAATTCAAACTAAAGACTCGAATTCAAAATAATCCATCCTTCCTAAAACATATCATATAGTTATACAAGGACAATCCATCCTTGGGTGACTTTCCAAGGAATGATGGAACCCAAAACGGCATATACGGACCAAATGAAGAAGGAAATGGTGCCAATGCTACTATTGAGTTCCATTTTCACCAAAAATGGAAAAGAAAATGTAAGAATATAGTTATTAAAATCGGACTAGGTCGATGATCAAATGTATTATACAAACCTATCATGGTCGGTCCAGTTTTTATATTGGACTGAATAAGCAAACGATCTGATCAAATTTGATCAAACTTATGGTTTTTGTTTTGGATTAAGTCGGTACTTGCTCATATGGTTAAACTGGCTTCGAGTCGATTTCACTCCTATTAAAAAAAAATTATATTTAATTAAAGTTACTAAAATTTCATTAATAGGATTTAAATTTTTAATAACAAATTTTATCTTCTAAAAAAACTAAAATACCTTCAATTGATAGTTAAAAACACCGAAATCCTACGGATAGAAGCTTTATGTCCTATATGTACTTATAGCCTTATTCTAGAGTCTTATTCCCTTTCCTTCGATTGGCATCTATAAAGATAAGAAGAAAAAAAAAACATTGGCATTAGCTAAGTTCGACTGAAATTACCCTTATTCCTTGAAAAATACCTTCTGTCCCTCCTAAAAATGTAAAACAATTCTTTCCAAGCCCTATAAGACTAATTATTACACTTTGATTTGTGGGAAAACTACCTCCCCTAGATGGAACTACAATATGACATATGGAGCATTGTTATGAATAAAAGAAAAAAACAGACTATAATATGCCATATGGAGATTTGGTGGTTCACCTCATTGTTATGAATAATTACTTTGGTACTTAACTAAAGAAAGTAGTGCCACCAATAGCTATGCATGAAAATTTTGATGAGATTTGTTGAGTTGGGGGGTAATTATTAGGTAGGTGAAGAATAGGATTAAGCCTTAAGCACCCGCACAAGAGACTAAAGGTAAAGGTTTGTAGGTCTGGCCATTAAGCTAAAGTAATCAGAAAAGTGAATACCATCAAATGGTAATTATATTTCTTTAGACACAATCATCACAAATATGTTGATTAATTAGTGGTTGACTATGGGCGGGCATATTTTGATAATTACTTTTGATTTGGTACATGATCAATTATTAGTGAACTTAACAATAACTTAAAATTGTCACAACCAGCTTTTATAGTTATTAATACCAAAAATTGACTTTAATGGTGGGTATAAATTACGCAACACCAATCCATTTAGCTACAAGTTTAAATGGAACACCTCAACATTTGATATTGACAATAAAATTGTGTTTAATTTCAAAATTAAAATATCTCAATATGTTTTTCCTTATTCAAAGAGTTAAATGCAAATCTTCCGTTTTTCAGTATATAAAAAAAATCAGAATTAAAATCAACATAAAGTGTTGTGTGCAAGTGTTGCAAATTCGTTTGGCCAGAAGCGACTTAGGTTACTTGACCTAATTGTTATTACCTTTCCTTAAGAGCATTAATTAAGATTTAATGTTCAGTTCTCTTCTTTCCTTTTCAAATATACCAAAAAATAAGCCGTTCAGATATATAAAAATTAAATAAGCCTTACTTTTAAAAAATCACCAATGTTTAAGTTGCTTCCTCATTACTAGTTTTGAATTTTATTTAAGTGAGTTTAATTTACACATATAATGATTGAGTCAAAAAATACTTAAAAAGTTTTAAATAATTAATAACATTAAGAGTGTGTTTGGTTCGTAGAAAGAAATAGAGTGGGAATGGAATGGTCATTCTGTAAGAATAGAATAGAAGATGAATAACTATTATGTAATTTGGTTCATTAGAATGGAATAGAACAAGAATTACTATTATGAATTGTTCTAATGTTTGGTTGGTAGGAATAGTTTTAGAAATAATTAAAGATATGTGATAAATGATAAAAATGCCATTTAATATAATATTTAATTTTTAAATTAAAACATTAATTTTACTATTTTATTCTTTATTTTGAAAATATTAAAATATAAAAAATTTATAATTAAAATTTCAAAATAATTTTAAAGTTTAAAATATCAACTTTTATAATGTATAATTAAAACTTAAATATGTATAATCAAAAGACATGAGAGAAAATCGAGAGAGGCTCAAGGGTGGTAGACACTTTGATAGGGTTAGAAGAGATAAGATCGGAAGGAATTTCAATGGGGTGCTGCAATTCAATGACAGAATCAACCAATGGAGATGGAGCAAGGTTGAAATGGAAAAATGGAGAGATAGACTCCACATGATTTTTGTAGGCAACTTATGTCCTTCTATCTCTTGGCAGGAGATTAAGGACTGGTTTGATAGATTTGGGATAGTTGTGGACATCTATCATCCTAAAACAAAGAACTGAGTCACTGCAAGAGGTGTTTTTGTGAAGTGTAGGAATGAATGGGAGTTATGGAAAGCCATTAATGCAGGAAAATGGGTTAGAATTAAAGGAAGAGTACTTGTGGTTAAAGTGGCAGACAAGGCATAAAATAGAGCAGGAGTAATTAAGTAGAAGGTAAGACCCAGATCCTACAGAGATTTAGTGAGGATAGGGGTCGAAGACAAAAATAGCATAGAATAAAGATCAAAAAAAGTGGAAAATAAGGCCAAGAAAAAAACAGGGTTGGTTTAAGTCTGTAAGGCGAGTGAGAACGACTATCACTAGCTTAAGGAATCAGCTTGGGAAGTGAGAGAGCAAAAAGGTGAAAACGATGTCGTCCCTTTCAAGTCATAGGCTGATTGTAAAGTGCAAATTGTGAAAGTAGAGAATCAATGGCTGAGAAGCAGTACAGTTGGAAAATTTAGAGCTGACCTCAGTCATGAAGTGATCCAAAGGTCACTTCAGTTAGAAGGTGTATGGGTCAGAGTTAGAAGCATGGATGGAGGATTCTATGTGGTTTCTTTTGATGATACTGATGATATGCAATGCTTCCTAAGCATGTATAAAGAAATTTTTTATGTTTGGTTGTAAAGATATCAGACCCTACTATGAGTGGTTGGAGGAAAGGAAAGTTCTTGTGTAAGTTAGGTTGGAAGATATTCTGCTTCATTTATGGCAGAGATCTCTTTGTAAAGCACTTGACAATAGCTGTGAAAGCTTTGTTAGAGTTGATAAGGACACTGAGGAGAAATGCAGATTTGCCTTTGCAATGATTTTGGTGGAGGTTTCTAGCAAGTTAAAAATTACAATGATGAACAGAGTCAGCATTGAGGGGGTAAATTACTGGATAAGGGCACACGTTATAAGAACTGTCGAGATCAACAGAGCTAATAGTGAACCCAAGAAGAAACTATTCCTCTGAGCACACAACTCCGTTACTAGTGAAGGAGGAAGGGGTGAATTCCAGTGACAGTAAAGTTACTTGAAAGGAAAGTGATAATCATAAAAAAATTGGTAATCGAGAAGTGGTAAAAATGACACGTGTGGATTGTCAGCCTTTAGAAGTAGGGTAAAGCCAACAACTCTCAACTGGAAGTCAGACTGGACAAGAGCTCGAGGTGAATGATGTGGACAAGTCAAAAGGTCATGATGATATGGAGAATGTTTTGAATTTGAAAAGTAGGAGGGAAAAGAGAGATAGTCTAAACGAAAATAAGTGTGCAAGTTTCAATTTCGAGAATGGGCCATGTAAAATTAATAGGCTCAACACGGTGGATTAAAGAAAGCTAATTAAGAAAGTTAAATTCAAAAAGGCTAGGGTGTTATGAAGCCCAATTCAATGGAAGTCGAGGGGACTGACTAAAAGAGAAGTAGTTGCGAATGACCAAAATAACACAACAATGGGTTATGAGGTTAACAGAATAGATCATGACCAGAACAAATACTTCAATTGGACCAAAGAGCGCAAAGGCTTAACTCATAGTAAAAGTGGGGAAGAGATAAAAGATGTAGTGCACAGCACAACAAATGGAATAACTAGGTTCATTGCGAATGAACAAAACAAAGACAATGAGTGCTATAATGGAAAGGAAAGGAGAGCAACAAACAATGATAAACTACTAAAGTTAATTGAGAAACAAAGTTCAAGAAAAAAGAAGTAGAAAAAAAAGGCCAAGGGAGTTAAAAGAGTCAAGATTGATGATGCCATGACAGAGGTGAAGCACTCGGGAAAGGCTAGTTTCAAGAAAGATAATGGGAAATGCCCTATAAGTTGTGGCATTGTTGAAAAAGGGCCAAAACAAAGTGAACAAGAATTTGAGGAATGCTCAAATAGGTTTGAGTACAGTTAAAAAGATATTGTCGAATTGAGTGAGGAAGTCAGACTATGTATAAGTTGATCAAAAGGAAATAGTTGGGCTACAAGTTGTACCTCAGGTGGTCAAAGGAAAATCTTTAATGAAGAAATCAAAGAAATTTTGGGAAAAAAGGAGAATGAAGAGAAAAATAGAGAAAAGGGCAAATCAAAGTCTAGAAGTGGTAC